AGGTGCAGGTGAGTTGTGAACGGCACATGTTGGAGGCCACACAGCGGCACAAAACTAGGATTCTGTCGTGACACGCGGCAGCGGCAATTGTTGCGGGACAGTCATTGTGGACAGTCATGTGCGGCCACTGCTGACAGTGGTTGTTGGGGGCAGTCACTGTAGGGGCAGTTGCTGCAGTAATTGTGGGTAGTGGGCAACCATGAGGCAGGGTGGTGGTGGTGGTGGTGGTGGTGGTGGTGGTGGTTGTCAGGTTGTCTGAGTGCCGCTAGGTCATTGCCTTTGATTGGCTTACCATAATTGGTATATCAAGAGCACGCAACGTAGGGCTGTAGTTATGTTTTGTTTACTAACTACTTTACATAAGCTTCATTTACTTACTCAATCAGGCCAATCCACCATTGTCGCCCACGTCGCACCGGACGAGAACTGGTCGAGTGTGCAGTCAACTGGTTGGGAGTGTTCAAAGGCAAGATAGACGTTGGAGGCAGCGGCGAGACACAAGATATGAGTGTCAAACAGATTTGAGATACGAGTGTCAAAAAGCGCATCTACTTGGTTCTGAACATGTAGATTCAGTAGAAGGCGCTGCAGAATGGTACTTGAGACATCGTACCTGTGAGTACCAGATGCAACAGAAGAGTAGCATCGCCAGTCGTTGCCTTCAACCCATGCATGTGCTTTCAGGCTATTGAGGACAATGTGTCAGCGTCAGGCCTTCATGCCTGATACTCACATGCACCCACCATGCTGACCAAATGCCGACCATCTAAGACCACCAGCCTGCCATCCTGCATCGATACTTCAAGGCTCCCGCCTAGGAACAGGGAAAACGCAGCATTGGCACGATTGGCGTGGGCACTGGAGGAGCATGGAAGACGGGCTTGGCCAGTGGTGGAAGAGATGAACGCGTATTGTGGTGCTGTTCAGCATCCATCTGCAGACTCTCGAAGATGTGGTCTTGTGCGAAGTCTGGGATTGGCATGGTTTGCCCTTCCAGTGGCAGGTAGGCAACACAGATTTTGTGCAAGTGAATAGTGTCCTCTGCTGGCTCACCACTCCACTATAGCACCCACTGAGTTGACTCGCAGAAAA